GGTTGCCATGGGGGGCCCAGCCAGGCACCACCGCTGCTCCACAACCCCTGGGGCTGCCGGGCAGCGTGGATATCAACATCTCCCTGGAGGGAGTGAACATTATCTGTCCCAACATTGAGTACCTGCACAACCCCATGCTGGATGCCCCTGCATCTCCAGCTGCTTCAGCTCCATGGTGGCCAAGATCCACAGCGTGGGGACACGCGGGGTTGGGCGCTGCTGCACTGTGCTGCTGGGGTGAGCAGGTCCCCGCCATCTGCTGATGAAGCACCACTCCACGTCCCTGGCTGGCCCCACGCCTGGGTCGAGTCCTGCCATCCCATCACACAACACAACAGCAGCTTCTGGCAGCAGCGCATCCACTGCGAGCACAAACTCTTCGGCTCCAAACGGTCAGCTTTCCATCAGGGACGATGCCCGTGTTTGTGACAATGAAGAGTAAGAGCAATGCTGCTGCTCCGAGTACAAGCGAGCTGTTGTAACCTCTTGGCAAGAAATGAAGGGAAAGCCAAGGCAGCTCCTGCAGATCCACGCTGGAGCATGGAAAATAACCTCTTTTTGTCTAAGGGGGCTGGACCATGAAGTCTGTGCTGCTGAAAGTACAGGGGATTTGCCATACAACCAGTGAGTAGCGGTGTTTACTATAAATAAAATCAACACAGCTTAAGCTATGCAGTTATTTTTCACACGTTGTTTGTATCAGGGTAACTCTGAAACTGCCATGTGTTTAGGGTGTTGTTTTATTCCAGCACAAACTGTGCTTCTAATCCAGGACAGAAACTAGCTGTGAGTCAGGATCTCTGGAGTGCTACCAACGTTTGTTTCTCCTAACTGGGCTATGTCTTTGGATTTTGAGACAGCAAACCGAAGTCCAGTTATCTGCTGCATTCCTGAGAGGGCAGGAACAGCACAGACTCCAGCATCCCCGGCTGGGACGCACCCAAGGATGTCCTGTTTTCTGCTGTCTGACCTTTCTCTTCCCCTGCCTGATTCCACACTTTTTCAGAAGGTGCCTTGGCCTCCCTTGGGAGACCCATGGTTATTTGGGTGAGCTGCTCACTGCTCGGAAAGAACCCCGTTTGCTGCTGGTGGGCTGGGCAGTCAAGATGGGAGCAATAAGAGGCAGTTTGAATCATCACAGCGAGGTCATCACATCGTTATGAACTAGAAGCCTGATCTGGGCACACTTTGGCTTCACTCTGCAGCAAACCATGTATTAATTAATTCTGGTTTATCACAGCAGGCAGTTTTTGGCTCCAGCAGCTGTGTCTTGAGTGGCAACAGACCTATTGCAGGTGGAAGTAGTGGGTCCTGGGCTGGTGTGTGTGTGTTAGGGGTCCCACAGCTCCTGCGTCAGCTCGTGGGGGTCCCGCAGCCCCAGTTGGTGTGAAGGGTTGTAGCAAGGGGGGGGTCAGTCTCTATTCCCAGGTAATGAGATAGAATGAGAAGAAACGGCCTAAAGTTGTGCCAGGGGAGGTTTAGATGGGATACCAGGAATAATCTCATCACCAAAAGAGTTGTCAAGCACTGGAGCAGGCTGGAGCAGCCCAAGGAAGTGGTGGAGTCACCAACCCTGGGCGTATTTACAAGATGGGCAGGTGTGGCTCTTAGGGACATCGTTTTGTGGTGGACCTGGCAGTGCTAAGGTGCTGGCTGGACCCTTGATGTTCTGAAGGGTCTTTTCCAACCTAAATGATTCTGTGATCCTACGGTTCTGTACCCTACCAGTGCTCCTCCACACCCACAAAGAGCAACCTGGCAAAACAGCTCTGTGCAGGTCTCAAAGCAGCTCAGGTGATAGCTGTGGTGGGTGACAAAGAGCCTTGCCTTCCTTTGAGGGCATTGCTTTTCTCTCAGGGCACCTCCCAGAAGCAGAGCAAAGACCCAGCTCCTCATGGACATGTGAGAAGTTCCTCTTGGAAAACAGCAATGGGAAAGGAAAAGGAAGGGAAGGGAAGGGAAGGGAAGGGAAGGGAAGGGAAGGGAAGGGAAGGAAAGGAAAGGAAAGGAAAGGAAAGGAAAGGAAAGGAAAGGAAAGGAAAGGAAAGGAAAGGAAAGGAAAGGAAAGGAAAGGAAAGGAAAGGAAAGGAAAGGAAAGGAAAGGAAAGGAAAGGAAAGGAAAGGAAAGGAAAGGAAAGGAAAGGAAAGGAAAGGAAAGGAAAGGAAAGGAAAGGAAAGGAAAGGAAAGGAAAGGAAAGGAAAGGAAAGAGCTGGTTGGGTGCATGGGCATCACAGAGAGCATTGTAGACATGGCAGACCTCTTGGAGGAGCCCTGTGTGACCGGCCAGGACCTCGGTGCTTCTCAGAGTGGGTGTCTGACCAGGCCAGGGTGCAGTTGGTGACCGTGGAGTCATCCCCACCCCTCTCCACTCCAGCTCTGAGGTTGAACACCAGGCTTTCCCCGTGGAGAGCAGCGGTGCCGCAGCCCTGGCAGGTCCTGTGGGTGTCTGGCTCCTGTGCAGGGCACCACTGGCTGGCTCCTTGGCACATCCATCTGCTGTCCAGTGCACAGGCATGGCTGTGGTGCAGCAGCAAGGACGGGCATCTCAGTTTGAACGCAGCTCTCCAGAGAAGTGGGAGGAAGGGGGTGGTGATGCTGCTGCCGGGTTTCTTGAACACCTTTTTCTTCACAGCCATGAGAAGCCAGGCGAGACACCTGCCCCTGACACCCAGACCCCCTGGGCCGAGCTCTGCGTCTGGCTTAGGGTGCCGCTCAGGCCCCTTCTGTGTTTCCCTGTGGATCAAGGAAGTTTTTACATGGTGGTCTTGTGTTCTACGTACGGTAATCAGCACGCTATGATAACGGCCGTAAACATTTGTGTCTTAGGCCCCTACTTTATGTTGCAAAGTGAAGATATTTTATAACAACAAAGTATATTGCTTTAAAAATGTCTTCAAGCTGATGTGATTTCCTCTTTTAGAACTCGGATGCAGGCAGCCAGCAGCCTTCTCAGAACAGAGCAGTGAGCCCATGCCACAGAGGGAGACCAATAAAGTCACCAGTAAAGCCAGCCTGCCCCAAAATGGTTAAGAGAAAGTTCTGGAGGGGTATTTTGGGTGCAGAAGCAGAGAACATGGGGCTGGAGGGGAGTCTGAAGGGTCATCCTGTCCATTTCCTGGCCTCCAAGCAGGCTTGGGCTGCTTCAGGCCCCCTCAGATGTTGCTCTCCAGTGCTGGACATTGCACGCCTCATGTCGTCTATGCTCGGGCAGGGCTGTCCTGCCTGGGAGAATGCATTTCTCTTAATGTCTGCCCTAAAAAAGGCTTCACCATAATTTCAGCTCCAGAGCCAGGATGGTCCCTGGCACCGTCTGAGGGCTGAGATGTGGAAGGTTTAAGACCACAGCCTGGCAGATGAGGGAGGGAGATCGTTTGCTGACTTAGGCTCCCCAGCTTAGCAAGCACTCGTCCTTGCTGCCTCCCAGCTGCAGATCCCGCGTCCCCCCTGTGCCAATGCAGCCTCCCGGCGTCCCCGAGGGCAGCAGTGGATCCCCTGTCCTGAAACACAGACAGTTTGCACCGCGTGCTCCCAGGCAGTGAAGCCACCCTGCATCTCCTCTCCCCTGCACAGGGACACGCTGCTCCTCCGTCGAGGGCTGTCTCACAGCTCAGCCCAGCACACTCCATCGCCGCCTCTGAGGGAGATTTCAGTGATGATTTGACAGCCCATCCAGTAGAAACTGTCCAGCCAGATCTCGAAACATTTACCCATCGGACGCACACTTTCCCACCTCAGCTGCAGCTCCTTGCCAGCCGGCACTCCCAGCGTGGTGGGACCAAGCACGCGGAGCTGCCACCCGTCCCTGCTGCCCCTGCTCACCAGCTCTGCATCGGAGGAGCAGCACCCGTGTGGGGAGACCATCTCAGGGGTTGATGAGCCCTGGCATGGGGGTGCTCCAGCCTGCCCACAGTTGGGTATCATCTAAAAAGAGGTGAAAACCCAGAGGATGCTTGGCAGAGGCTATGGAGGGATGCATGGGTGAGAAAAGGTCCCCTAATCTGGGGACACAAGAGCTGCAGGGGCTTCAGAGGTGGATTTGTGGGCTTTGTGGCCCTTAGGGCAGGGTGATAGGCCACCGCGGTACCCTCACCTCAGCACCCTCACAGTGCCAAAACCAGGCCTGGGGAGCCTTGCGAAGGGAACTGGGCCCCAGCAGGAGCGGGAAGCGGCTGCCTGGCAGCAGGCTGAGGCATGGGGACACCCATGCCCGTGTGAGGGCTCTCCCCGTCCTCCACGGCTCCGGCTGGGGCTCTCCTGCCCGGTCCCGTGGGGTCTGCTCTCCAGAGGGGTGCCCGCCTCGGGGCAGAGCTGTCCCCTTCTGCTCCCCCAGCCTTTCCCTCGCCCAGCTGAGCCAGAGCAGCACCAGATCCTTTGGGAAACCCAATCCTTCCCGTGGCATGTCCGGAGCAGAGGGATGCCACCAGGCTGAGATCACAGCCTGAAATACCCGGACACAGGGCCACCATGCCAGGCCAGCCCACCTGCTGCTGCTGGGCCCTTCGTGGGCGGCATCAAAGCCCCCACGCCTGCACACCGATGAGGGCAGACCCCAGTGCCAGCAAATGGGTCAGGGGGCTGGACGGGCAGGCATTCCCCGAGGAAGGGCTCCTCGACCCAGCGATGCTGCGGGTCCCTCTCCTCCCATCCCCTGGCAGGCGACAGCGTGGGTGGGAGGTCCCCAGGGACTCCTGTGAGGGGAGTTTTCCCCAGCCCCGGACTCGCCTTTTGAAAGAAACTGGAAAACCAAAACAACTTCCAGCCCTCCCCGTCATGGAAACGCCTCTGAAATGTGGGCCCAGAAAGCAAACAGGTGGGGGCTGCCTCTGCTGCTGTCCTCCTGGCCAGAGCAGGGGCCGTTT